TATATATATATATATATATATATATTAAACAAATAACAGATTAAATGCAGAAAATACAGTGTTTTCAATAACATATTTAAAAATTTTTATTTGAAATTAACTCATTGTGTTATAAGAGATATAGTTCTAAAACACCGCATAGACCTAAGTTTATAGGAAGCACCTCTTTTCCCCCTAGTTCTGTCAGCATATGTTTTTATTATGTTCATTATATCATTTAAATATTATATAAAAGTATGTATCCATGAAAATATAAGTCCTCTGTAAAATAGAGCTATCTTTGCTCTAGACGTTCTATAATATTTGATTTTTCTTACATCATTTTTTAAAGAAATAGAAGTCTCGGGAAACATTTTCATTTTGTAGTTTCACCAAATGAACTTTTCAAATAATAACATAAGTGTATTTATATTTTACAAGTAATGTTATAGGGCTTGGAAAGTGGAAATTAAAAAAGCAATTGCAATGAATATAAAAATGCGATCACTTTGGGAAACCAATAAAATGTCAACTTAGAGCATCCTGAATTATTGAATTCTTTTGATCCATATCAAATCAAAACAACCTCTAATTGACTACAAAGTCAATATGATGATCCTCAATTTTAGGATCTGCCTGATGATTTGAGTTGTTTTGAAAATTAAAATCATCATCTTTATATCTAACTAGAATTTATAGCTGATGCTTGCCCTCTTTTGGAATGTATTTTCCAAAAACTCTTTCATGATCAACTTTTGCATTCAATAAATAAACATAAAATGGTTGAGAATAAGGTGAATAATTAAAATTTAATTTATTCTAATTCCTGCCAGTGTTGTTTTTATTTTAAAAATAGAAGCTATTTCTCTGAAATAAATCAAATTAAAGTAGCATTTTTGGATTTGATTTTTAAATGCTGCAGAAACAATTTTATTCCACAGCATTCACTATCATTAAGTCTTAGAGGGTATTTAGCTTCATGAAATCCCAAATTTTCATATAAAAATAGAATAACACAAACCCTTGTGCAGCAGCAATGGTTTATACCCCTACTTTTACTATAAAATTACACAGGAATAGGGGTCCATCCATGCCCACATTCTCAACAGATTATAACTGAATTTTTCCAGCCACCCGCCCCTAATTTTTCATTTTTAAGCTCTAATAGACTAGAGGATTCTGGTTGAAGCTATAAAAATATTTATTAGGAATCTTTAGTAAATTAGTATGCTTTAAGAACTTGTTCAAAATGTAGACCAAGAATGAGTTTGTTAAAAATGAAAACTCCTTACTCCACTCCAGATCTACTTAATGCACGTATGCACTTTGATATATTAAACATATAATTTCTCTTTTTTTTGGTTGTACATGTAGAATCCTATCAGTTATGCAGTCATATATGCACATAAGGTAATAATGTCTTTTTCATTCATTTTTAACAAAGTTCCCTAATAATTTTTTCCTAAAGTAATTTTATTCTGAATATATGAGGTATACAATATGATATTAGAGGATACTTTTAGATTAAATAAAAGAATTTCTATAGTGGAACCAATGAATATTTCTACCATCTCACAGAATTACTCTTTTTTGTTGTTGTTTGCTTTTGCTTTTGTGGCAAGAATAGCTAAAATCTACTCACTTGGCAGAAATCCCAATTAAAGTACTTTTTTAAAAAAATTGTATCCATAGGCCTCATGATACATATGATATCTCAGAGATTTATTTCTCTTATATCTGACACTTTGTATTCTCTGACCTACATCATTTCTACCACACACACAATCCCACCACTGGTTATCCTTATTTTGTTTTCTATTTTTACTGAAATTTTTTTAGACTCCACATATTGGAAACATCATTTTACTTTTGGTGTCTGACCTGTTTCATTTGTTCAGTGACCATAATATTCTGCATTTTCATCACATTGTGGCAGATGGAAGCCTATCCTTCCTTTTAGAGGCTGGGTAACATTCCATTGTACATGGGTACCATGGTTTCTTTATCTAGTCATGTGTGATTGTTGGTTATTGATTATAATGTCACAGTGAACTTACAAGTATTGATGTCTTTTGAGATAAAGATTTCATTTCTATTTTGTCTATGCCTGGATGAGGATTTCATGGGTCATAAGGTAGTTCTATTTTTAATCTATTTAGAAAGTGTCATACTGTTTCTTTTGATGCCTATACCAATCTATAGTCCCACCAAAAGTGTACCCTTACCAATATTGTTATCCCCTTTTGATATGAGCTATCCTGTCAGATGTGAATGGGTATCTTGTAGAGATTTTGGTTTGCATTTTCCTGATTAGTGGTGTTAAGTACCTTGTCATGCCTCTAGTGGCCACTTTTATGTCATCTTTAGAAAATAATGTCTATTCAAGTTGTTTGTCCATCTTGTAAGTTCTTCTGTTAATATTTTATCAGACTTTTTCCTATACATTTCAAACATTAACTCCTTATCAGATACATGGTTTGCAGACATTTTCCTAATCCTTTAGCTGTCATTTCGCCGTGTTCATCATTTTCTTTGCTAAATAGAAAGCTTTATTAGTTTGATATAGTCCCATTTACTTTTGCTATTATAGCCTGAGATTTGGTGCAATATAGAAGAAATCATTGCCAAGGCTGATGTCCAGGAGCTTTTTCCCTCTGTTCAATTCTAGGTGTTTTATATTTTTAGGTCTTTTATTCATTTTGAGTTGATATTGTATATATTGTATATGGTGTAAGATTAAGGTCTAATTTCATTCTTTTGTATATGGAAATAAAATTTTCCTAATACCATCTAGTAAGTGATATTTCCAAGTGTGTCCTCTTGGTGCCCTTACTAAAGATTAATTGGATGTGTGTGTTTGAATTTGTTTTTTCTGGACTCTCTTTTCTCTTTAGCTGGTCCATGTAACTGTTTTTCTGCCATCATACTAGAATCTGCCTCTCCAGAAGGCACTATTTTTTTCTTAGTTCCTGGAGATAATTGGGCTCTGAAAGACATGTGAGGTAAAATTCAAAACTAACCAACACAATGCCAATTTATTAACTTAGATTATTTGAGCATGATATATAGTTCTTTGGACTGAAGCTTTAATGATTGGGTCGTTCAGCGCTTCTCTCAAGATGATCAGCTTAAATAAACAACTAGATGGTTAATCAGTTTGAAGTTTGCTTGGCCACCATGCTATCAAAACCAGAAAAGTTATATGCCTCAGCTAAGAAACTCAATACCTTCCTCACTATGGGAATGTCTTGCCTGTGGATTTGAAGTTTCTGACTGTAACATTCTTTTCTTATCTCCATGATAGAGAAAAAGAAATAAAAGTCCTGAAAATGTTCCTTCTAGGGATAGAACTTTGAAGGGCCCTCCCTACTTTGGCCTTTTAATAATTGTTTCTTGCTTTGTCCTTACTTTTTTATAATTTGTTCTTTATATATGTTAATGCATTTATAACTGCTACTTATCTATCACTGACCTAAGGTTCTTCCTGTGTCTCTCAAAGAGCAAAGGGACTTTGGGGTAGTCTAAATCCATGAAGGATATTTTTTTTCCCTTCATTTTCTAATTGTTGAAGGAGATTCATTTAAGCTTCTGAGTATAAGTTAAACATTCTAATACAAGCTAAAATTAATTTCCACAACTCATAACTCAGTAGGTGATTGCCTTACTCTAGAATTCCTGTAAATTATTAAAATATCCTCTGGAACTTTCCTAGTCAGGTATCAGAATACAAAATAAAACCAGACAACTCGAATTATTATTTAAGAATATTTATTTATTGTTATATTAGGTCAAAAACATTTTAAGTTGATATTTTAAAATTAAATTTAAGTCATGATCCAACTCATAACAACATTATTATCGCATCTCATAATTTTTAATATTTGTTGTACAGAATATAGGGGAGGGAAAGAAAGTTTTCCCCTTCACTCTCCATGTGTTAGCACTTCATGTAAAAAATGCATATATATTATATAGTATATAAAATAATACACATATTCTTATATAATAGTAACAACAAATTATAATTTTAGTAGCATATATAAACATGAAATATAACCCAGACAAATGGAAAATCTCTAAAGTAGATCTGAAAGAGCTGGTTTGGACTCCAGATTAAATACTACTTCTCTAAAACAGAGAAAGAAGGGTGAGGGTTAAGCCCCAACAGAAACATTCACCAGGAAATTTACCATAAAATAGAATGAGGTTTGTTATGTAGGTAAAGTTAGTGCCTTCTTCAATGATGCACTTCTCTAATGATTCATTTATCCCAGTTTTCCTGGTACAGAGGGGAAACACCCTTGTAATCTAAGACCTCCTTTGTAGATTAAATTTCTCTTCCAAAAGGGCAACTCTCTAGCACTGTTTTCAGATATAATCTTGTTCCTGCAGTTTCTCAGAATAGAGATGCTCAAATAATCCTTAGGCCCATCAGTTATATTTGAGGTAGCAGATTCTAGACCCCTATAGTCATATTTGTGGGTAGATTATCCTGAGCCCCATGAGGAACTGAAAGTAGAATCTATATTTGGGATGTTATAGTTTAAATATTTGATTCTCCTTTCCTAATTCTACATAACAATTTTTGTTATTTCAATTACGTATGCATGTATGTGTGTGTACGTGTATCTCTCTCTATATGTGTAATTTTCTTAAACTGATACATGATTTAAAGCGTGTTTTATACCCCTAGTATCATATTATTTGAGACAGTTCCCAGATGTACAGTATGGAATCACAGAGCAACTATTTGACACTTGGTGATATCTAATTAATTTTATATCTAACAACTTTATTAAAATAACTGGTTAGATAAAAATTTGAACAACTATTCAAAATCTTCATCTGCAAACAGTGATTTTACTGCATTCTTAAGTCTAAGAAATTATGATACATGTTGATATGTTTATTAGCAAGCAATGATCAAAACCTAAAATATGTCCAGGGATAATTGTTCTAATTTTTGGCAGGGGTATGGTGGTTATATTGCATCAATGATCTTAAAGTCAGATGAAAAGCTTTTTAAATGTGGATCCGTGGTTGCACCCATCACAGACATGAAGTTGTATGGTGAGTGTGTCCTACAGACTAATGTAATATAGTGTATTGATTTATAGAAAACAAAATCCCAATGCACAGAATCTCAAATGAGCTCATTTATCTTGTGTTATTAAAGCCTGTTTTGGATTGTTTATCACCTCCCTGATTCAATTGATTTTACTGGAGCATGACAAATTTGAAATGCAGAAATAAATGATGAAATATGCTAGGGTTTTAGTTTATTCTTAACTTTCTGTTTTCTTGGGTCATAGCTTCTGCTTTCTCTGAAAGATATCTTGGTATGCCATCTAAGGAAGAAAGCACTTACCAGGTAACTAAATTAAAAATAAATAGAATGAATAACATTTTTTTTCTAAAAATCAGGTCAAATTGCTTTTACATGTAGATCTGTAGATAAAGACGTATGTGTTTTTTGTTTTTATAGGCATCTAGTGTGCTACATAATATTCATGGCTTAAAAGAAGAAAATATATTAATAATTCATGGAACTGCTGACAGTAAGTATTATATTTGCTGCTACTGTTTGATGGAATGTGACCTTTTACAAAGGAATACATCTTAAAATTTGCTTACAGAAGGCTTATAAACCTAAAAAAAACAAAAAAAAAAATAGGAAGTGAGACAAAGGATCAGGAATTCAGGACTCAGCAGAGAGGAAATAAATAATCAGCCTCAAATGGCAACATCTCCAATAAAACTTCCTGAGATTTTGGGAATAGTCTGTCTGTGCTATTGAACACAATAGCCATTAACCACTTATGACTATATTCCATTCAGTGAGACTGAGGAATATAATTTTTAATATTGCCTAATTTTTCCTGATCTTAATTAAATAGCCTCATGTGGCTAATGGCCATGGCTATTGTGTTATTCAGCAGACCTCAAATGGAAATCAACCTACAAAACAGAAAGATAATGTAAATATGCAAGCGCTGAAAGGTTGTGAGTTTACTCACTTACATGAAGTTTTAACTTATCTGAAGTTAAAATCTTCCTAAAAGAGCAATTTTGTATTCCTTCTCATTTTTTAATCATTTTAAACATGGGAGATGGATTTGGTTGATGTTATAAATAAAAGTAATTATTTACATTCATAGGTAGCTTTCAGGGCTCAACGCATTTATATTTTTATTGTCCTATATGATACCTCACAACAGAAGGTTGAGTGTTTATAGTTCTATTCACAGTTGAGAAAAATCAATTTCAAGAAAGAAACATTTTTCCAAGGATTTCTGACAAGTGAGCCAAGAGAGTTCAGATCTTGAATCAATACTTTCTAAATCTTGAGCTTGCGTTTGTTATCACACCCTACCCTACCTCAGTATTTTTAGCCAATTTTTAAAAATCATAAAAAAGTTCTCTTAGCAAAGAGTGTAGAGTATACCATCTCTCCAAATTAACTTTTAAGCAAGTCAAGCTATAGTTAAACCACAGCTTAATGTGTATATGTTTGTGTATTTTATATATATATATATATATATAATATATACACATATGTATATATATACATATATATACGTATACATATATACACACACATATATATAATACAAACATACATATAATACAAACACACACACACACACACATATATATATATATGTACATCTATATCAATTTCTCTCTCTATATATATATATAAAATACATATATGTAATGTAGGGAGATACCCTAACCCTTAGATAGAATTCTGAATAAAGTATGTGCGTTAAGAAGCCAAAGTTAAGTTTCTTTCTTCCTTTATGATGGGTTGGATTTAATGATGATCTTCAAGAGTATGATATAGAAAAGGGGAGTTTTCACTTTACAGTGAAGACTTGTCCTTCAACACATCAGCCAGGGATGAAGTTTCATATCAGTAGTGATAATCCAAGTTCATAGTAGGTATAGTACATATAATGTAATGAGAATGACACTTCACCTATGTGGTTCAGTACCCAAAAGCTATAACCACAGTCTAAACTTGAGAAAAACATCAGAATATCCAAATGAGGACTCTACCACCACATGATCACTATTCCTCAGAACTATGAAGGTCATGAAAAATAGAGAAAGGCTGAGAACCCGCCATAGATCAAAGGATACTAAGGAGACATGATGTCTGAATATAAAGTGGTATCATGGATGGGACTCTGGAGCAACAAAAATAATGTCAAAGTAAAACACTCAAATAAAATAGGTGTAGTTAATGGCAGCACACTGATACTGGTTTCTTTTCTTTTTTTTCTTTCTTTTTTTTTTTTTGTCAAAGGTACCATAATAATGTAAACTGTTAACATTGGAGGAATGGAGTGAGGGCTATATGGAACTCTTTGCACTCCTTGACACCTTTTCTGAAAAATTTTTAGGTTTTTAGTAGTTTTATCTGTTATAAATTGAAAGTCTTTTTATTAAAAGACAGATTTAGAATATACAATAACAATGTTGGATGAAACATGATGAAAGAGAATTTAAAACATTTGAAGACCCTTAGATTTTTGTTTAAAGTATTAAAACTTTTTCTTGAAATCTTAAGATTAGTAATAATAAAAATCATTTATTAAGTACTTTGTCAGAAAATGTGCTAAAGCATTTAGTAATTTCTTACTCATTTTGCATAAAAATAATATATAGTGGGTCTTACTACTTCTTACTTAACACATTGGATAAATAAATATTAAGAAAGACACACAACTCCCCTGCCAGAGCTCAGCTCTGGCCTATATGCACCTCTGCCTACCTGCATGGGACCTAGGCCCCAGGGTAGGCCCAGGTCCATCCCACCACCAGCAGATACCTGCTGAAGCTCAGGATTAGTCCAGATCCACCTCTACCTACCTGTGCAGGACCCAGGCCCAGGGTAGGTCCAGGGCCATCATCCCCCCAACCTGAGAGCCCCGACCTAACCCACTTCCATATTGAGACACTTCAAACATCTCCATAGTCTTCCCCATGCAGTAGCTTCTACCTTTCAACAACAGATAGGGCCTAGAAACAGCTGCATCTCAGAAGAGGCATCCCAAAGCCAAATGGTGTAAGGCACGCCATTTCAGCCCTACCTCTGAAAGACCTTGCAGCAATCTTGCGGCACTTCTAATGCTATCCTAAGTTACCTCCCCTATTGCCGCCACAACCTTGAGTTGCAATAGCATCCACCTTGGGACACCTGCAGGGTCTAGAAGCCCAGAATCAAAGTGAAGTACAGATAACCTGCATGGGTACTACAGGACTATAAGATAGAAGCTATAATATCTCATATCCACACTGCAAGAAAGGAAAATACATAGACAACATGAAAAAACAAGGGAGAAAATTGCCCCAAACTAACCAGGATACTATAATAACAGATCCTATGGATGGTGAAGTTGATGAAATGCCAGAGAAGGAATTCAGAATGTTCATAACTAAAATGATCTCTGAATTTAAAAATGACCTAAATGAGTAAATACCGGCAAAAATTGAGTATTTCAACAAGGAGACAAGAGAGTAAATACAAAAAGAAAAGATAAATATCAAAAATAAACAAAAATGGCTTGAAATAAAAATTGTGTCTCAATAATAATCCAGAATGTTAATGGTCTAGACTCACCAATCAAATGGCACAGACTAGCAGATTGGATTAAAAAAAAAAAAAAGACCCAACAATATGCTGCCTCCAAGAGACTCATCTCATAGGAAAATACATCCACAGAATGAAGGTAAAACATTAGGAAAAATCATACCACTCCCATGGACTATGGAAGCAAGCAGGGGTTTCCATCCTCATATCAAAGAAAGTAGACTTCAAGCTAAAGTTAATCAAAAGGGATAAAGAAGGACACTACAAAGCATAACAATTATAAATATATATGCCCCTAAAAACAGAGTATCTATGTTTATCAAACAAACATTTCTCAAGTTCAACAGTCAAATAGACCACAACAATAATTCTGGGTGACTTTAATACACCTCTTTCACCACTGAATAAATCTTCCAAACAAAAGCTGAAAAAAGAATCTATGAAACTCAATAATACAATCAATAACTTAGACTTAACTGACATTTATAGAATATTTCACCTTCAACAAGCTAATACACATTCTTTTCAGAAGCACATGGAACCTTCTCTAAAATAAACTATATATTATGCCAAAAAGCAACTCTTAGCGAATACAAAAAAGTAGAGATACCACTTTGCATTCTATCAAATCATAATGGAATGAAACTAGAAAACAATGATAAAATAAAAAATAAAAGCTACTCCAACACCTGGACACTAAATAATATGCTATTGAATAAACAATGGGTTGTGAAAGATGCCAAGGAGAAGATTAAAAAAATTTTAGACTTAAACAAGAACACTGATACAACATAACAAAATCTCTGGGACACTATGAAGGCAGTACTAAGAGGAAAGTTCATTGCATGGAGGTCATCCCTTAAAAGAAGAAAACATCAACAAATAAATGACCTAACATTATCTCAAAGCCCTAGAAAAAGAACAACAAACCAACACCAAAATTAGTAAAAGACAGGAAAAAAATTAACATCAGAGCTGAACTTAATGTAATTGAAACAAAAGAAACAATTTACGAAATTGACAAAACAAAAAGTTGGTTGTTTGAAAAAATAAAATTAACAAACCTTTAACCATACTAATGAAGAGAAGGAGAGAAAAAATTCAAATTACTAACATACGTGATGAAAAAGAAAATATCACAACAGACACCACAGAAATACAGAAGATAATTAGAAATTATCTTGAAAATTTATACTCCAATAAAATAGAAAATATTGAAGGCATTGACAGATTTCTAGAGTCATATAATTTGCCTAAATTGAATAAGAATGATATACACAATTTAAACAGACCAATTTCAAATGATGAAATATAAGATGTCCTCAGAAGCCTACCAACCAAGAAAAGCCCAGGACTGAATGGATACACAGCTGAGTTCTATAAGACCTTTAAAGAAGAACCAACACCAATACTACTCAAATTATTTTTGAAATAGGAAAAGAGGAAGCACTTCCAAACTGATTCTATGAGTTCATTATTACCCTGGTTCCAAAACCAGGCAAAGATACATTAAAGAAAAAAACTTCAGACCAATATCTCTAATGAACATAAATGCAAAAATTTTCAAGAACATTCTGGCAAATCAAATACAAAAATGAACAAAAAGTATACCACAATGAAGTGGGGTTCATCCCAGGAACCAAGGTTGGTTCAACATATGAAAATAAATAAATGTAATTCATCACATCAATAGAATTAAAGACAAGAATCATATAATTATCTCAATAGATGCAGAAAAAGCACTTGACAAAATACAGCACCCCTTCATGATCAAAACACAAGAAAAACTAGGGATAACAGGAACATATCTCAACATCATACAGGCTATCTATGCTAAGCCCCAGGCCAATATCATTCTACATGGAGAAAAATTGAAAACATTCCCTCTAAAATTTGGAACAAGACAGGGATGCCCTCTTTCACCACTTCTATTTAACATAGTTCTTGAAACACTGCTAGAGCAATTAGATTTAAACAATTAAAGGGATATGGATGAAAAAGATCTCAAAATAGCACTATTTGCCAATGATATGATTCTATACCTAGAAGACCCAAAAAATTCCACCAGAAAACTTCTAGAACTAATTAATTCAGCAAAGTAGCAGGATATAAAGTCAACACCTTTAAGTCAAAGGCTTTTCTGTATATCAGTGACAAATCCTCTGAAAGGAAAACTACTCCCAATAGTCTCAAAAACAATAAAATACTTGGGAATAAACAAATGAGGTGGAAAGAACTCTATAACAAAAATTACAGAACACTAAAGAAAGAAATTAAAGACCTTAGAAGATGGAAAGATCTCCCTTGTTCTTTGATAGACAGAATTAATATTGTCAAAATGACCATACTACCAAAAGTACTATACAAATTTAATGCCATTCCAATCAAAATCCCAATGACATTCCTCATAGAAATATAAAAAGCAGTCATGAAATTCATCTGAAAAAATAAGAGACCCAGAATAGCTAAGGCAATCCTTAACAGGAAGAATGAAGTAGGTGGCATCACTATTCCAGACCTTAAACTATACTACAGATCAATAGTAAAAAAACAACATGGCATTGGCACCAAAATAGACTGGTAGACCAATGATACAGAATAGAGGACACAGAAACAAACCCACATAATTACAGTTATCTTATATTAGACAAAGGCACCAAAAACATACATTGGAGAACATATGGCCTCTTCAACTGGTGCTGGAAAAACTGGAAATCCATATGCAACAAAATGAAATTAAACCCCTACCTCTAGATGCCAACCTAGATGCCCTTCAGTAGATGAATGTATAACAAAAATGTGGTATATATACACAATGAAATACTTTTAAGCATTAAGAGTATAAAATCTTGGCATTTGCAGGTAAATGGATGGAACTGGACAATATAATGCTAACTGAAGTTAGCCGATCCCAAAAATACAAATGCTGATTTTTTGTCTGATATAAGGATGCTGATTCATAATGGGGTTGTGTGAAGGGAGCATGGGAGGATTAGATGAACTCTAGATAGAGCAAAGGGGAGGGAGGGGAAGAGAGGGAGCATAGGGGGAGGAAAGATGGTGGAATGAGATGGACATCATTACCCTAAATACATGTAGGAAGACATGAATGGTGTGACTCTACTTTGTGTACAGCCAGAGATATGAAATATTGTGCTCTATATATGTAATATTTATTATAATGCATTCTGCTGTCATACATAACAAATTAGAATAAAGAAAAAAATTTAAAAAGACACACAACTATTAGTTATAAAAGGGGGCAGGGTTGAATCCAGGAACTAAAGTTCTTATTTCTTATTTACTATACAATGCAGGCTCAGTCATGTGAATAAACTATATTCAAAGTTAAATTATTTTACCTCTAGCCATCACCCTAGAATATACCAGTACTCTTTCAAATTTCTCTGTCAATATGATACAGCTATTCAGCAAAACATGTCTCTATCTGACTGACTCAGTTCTGGGTCTGGTTCTTCACCAGTTATTTTTTGTTGTTGTTGTTGTTTTTGTTCTGGAAATATCACAACAGACACTACAGAAATACAGAAGATAATTATAAATTATTTTGAATTATTTTTCTTCTGGTGACTTCAGAGGAATCTCCCCAGTGCAGGTACATAGGTACCAGCACCCCACAACCCACAAAAGCCTGGGGAGTTCAAGATGCTCCCTCAGTGACATTCTAATGTAACACTATAAATGTTATTTTGGAAGATTAGAAGCTAATTCACTCGGCCTATCAGACTTTAATGTCCCCCATTTAGTCCTAGGAACAATATGAATGGCAAATATCAACAAACCATGTGTTAGATACTAAGCACCAGAAAAATCCAATTGGAAAATTTATTTGTACATCTTTTTACCTTTATCCATATGTAGAAGTAATGGTATTCATTTTGTATAGATTCCATATGATAAGTAAATATGCTGTACAAGGGACTGTTTGTCATTGCCTCTATTAATTAACATTCCTAGTATCTTACATTTACTGAGAAATATATCATTATGTAGAGTTGATGTGGCAATTTTCCCATTAAATATAATACGATATTGGGAAAGATTGTGCATATGTTTTCAAAAGATTTGAATCATCATTTGATATTTTTTATCCTCTGCCATAGAATGATTATTTGGCATCATCTAACTAGAACATTAAAGAGGATTAAACCAGTGGTAAGGCTGCCCTGGGTTTGCAAAGACCTTTACAATATATTAGCTTAGGAGTGATTTCAGAAATTCATAGGTGTACAAAAGACAGAAAGGAATAGCACAGGTGGCATATGAGCAAAGTTCTGTGCACAGGGATTTGAGTGAATGTTCCAGGATTTTGCCCCTATTTGAGCCCACAGAATCTCCAAATCTAAAGCAACTCCATTTCTTATTTTAAAGTTTTGGACCTTCTATTCAGGCAGAAGGAAGACAGAATGAAGCTGGGATAACTAGTATTCTCTAAATTAAATATTTAGCCCATGAATAAGAAGATGTAGAAGATATGTACGACATTTTCTCAATATAGAGCATTCTCTTATAAAAATTTAATATAATAAAGCACAATGTCATTATCTGAGACTGGGTGTCAATAACCCTCCTGAAGGAATGCAAATCTATTTTTCTGTATTCATATTTACAAAGGGCATTCATTATATTAAAATATTTATAAAGTATAAAATATATGAACAATTGGGAATAATAAACGATATCTAAAAAGTATGTCTCAATACCATCCTGTATAGTACATAAGCCTTGTTCATCACTCCAGTAGTATTGATTTGATTTATTATAATGTTAAAGTTTGCCATTATAGCTAACACCTTTTTAGTTAAAACCAAAGATTAGCCTTTTAATTGTATGATGTATGCAAAACACTTAAACTCTTTGAAAAAATAATATGAAAATTTTCTGATCTTAATAAATGTATCTTCTTCAAATATTATAATTAAATTTCTTCCAGCAAAAGTTCATTTCCAGCATTCAGCAGAATTAATCAAGCATCTAATAAAAGCTGGAGTGAATTATACTATGCAGGTAAGTAATTCTTTTAGAAGGATATTGTGTTAGTCAGCCTTCCTTCATTATAGATTACTTGAGATAACTTACACAGAGAAAAGTTTATTTGTCCACAGGTTGAAGGTTCAAGTCCATGGTCAAGCCTTTAAGACATGGGCTGTTGGAAAATATTCAAGATACAAACTATTCCAAATGTCCTCTTCTAAATTCCTCTTTTATTTGTTAGATATAGAATACTTTGTCTGCATTATTCTATTTTATTATTATTATTATTATTATTATTATTATTATTATTATTATTATTTTGTGGTGTTGGGTATTGAACCCAGGGACTTGTGCATGCAAGGGATGCACTCTGCCAACTGAGCTATATCCCAGTCCTCTTATTCTATTCTTAATGTAATTATTTTTAGGATGTTTCTTAGGTTAAATAAGTTTGTATTCTTTGTTCTTGATTACATTGAGAATGTGGATTCCTTTATGCTTTAAAAGTAAAATTCATGAACCCATTCAGAAATGTCCTTTTCTCCTCAAAATTTATATACTATCAATATTGATATTTTTAAAAAGATTAACTTTCTACTTCCCATTATCCCTTTTATATTATCTTCACTTACTATCATTCATATATAAAAAGTGGGAGAGAAATATGTGTTTGGGGAAAATACTACAAGAAAAGAGGAGAAGTTAAAACTCTATTTCAAATTCCATTTATATATGTGCTTTCACACATCTAATAAATATTAATCAGGGACTTACTTTAATAATGGTCACTATGTTAGATGGGTAACAAGACATACTTCATGCTATCCAAAAATTTTCAGCTTAATGGAGAAGTCATAAAAAAGAGTAAATTTGTCAGCATTTGGAAAAACAATTGTTAGTCAATTTTCTGTGTTATGACAAAATATCTGAGATAATCAAATTATGAGGCAAGTCTCATTTTTAGCTCATGGCTTCAGATGTTTGGATGCATAGCTGGTTGGCCCCATTACTTTGGACTTGGGATGACACAGTATGTCATGGTAGGTTTCTTCAATTCGTGGTACCTAGGAAGCAGAGAGAGACAAGTGGATCTGTAGTCTGAATATCCCCTCTGAAGGTCATCCCCAATGACCTAACTTCCTTCCACGGGGCTATACCTTGCACTGTTTACAGCATGTCCCCATAGTGCCACTCAATGGAGATGAAGCCTAAAACACATGGGCTTTCGTGATACATTTCAGATATAAGTCATAGCATTCCACCACTGGTCCCCCCCAAATCTCATGTCTTTCGCACAATGCAAAGTACAATAAATCCATGGGATAGGAAAGAATACCTAGGAAATGGACCAAAGCAAGAGTGAAGTCCAACATGGCAAATATCAAACACGGTAGCTCCATGTCCAGCATCCAGGATACATGGGGGTATGACGAAAGCTCCAAAAGGCTTGGGCATCACTGCCACTCTCTGTGGCCAAAACAGTCTAATTTGCATACAGAAGGCATATTTTGTTTAAACTATAGATTGACATGATTACAATCTTTTTAAAAGCTTAGCTTAAAGAACTCAGAATTTGCTGAAATGAGATTTTGGTTAGAAATTTTCATATATCCTTTCTTCCTTTTTTCCTTCCTTCCCTCCTGCCTGCCTACCTTCCCTCCTTCTGTACTGGGGATCAAATTCAGGGTCTCACACATGATAGGGAAGCACTCACACTCACTCTCTCTCTCTCTCTCTCTCTCTCTCTCTCTCTCTCTCTCTCTCTCTCTCTCTGAGCCACTAAACTATATCCCCAAGCCCTGGTTAGGTAATATTTTTCAAAGTCCCTATGCCAGAGGGGAAAAGGGAAAGAAATAAAGAAAATGAATGCTGAGGGGGAAAAAGCTGCCTTGATAACTTGAAATCATCTCCCCTCGATGTCTTAGGTGTACCCCGATGAAGGTCATAACCTATCTGAGAAGAGCAAGTATCATCTCTACAGCACAATCCTCAGATTCTTCAGTGATTGTTTAAAGGAAGAAATACCCGTGTTACCACAGGAACCAGAAGAAGATGAATAATGGACCCTATTTATATAGAACTGAAGGGGATATTGAGGCTCAATGAAAAGCAACCAAGAGACTGTCATATTGTAGATGCTCAGAGTTTCCAGGGCAGCTTAAGGAGATGACACTGGAACAGCACACTCAGAGATAATGAACTAGAATTTGAAGACCGAAGTCCAAGTCTACTGTGTTGCCAAGGGTGCAGAATCTATTGCTTTGTAAAAGAAGGTCAAAGGGTTGGTTTCCTGGGAGAAATTAGTTTTACATTAAAGTAGGAATAGTGCATGTTTTCTTCTGTTATCCCCGTTTGTTCTGTAACTAGTCGCTCTCATTTTGATTTCAATAGCCACCATCATCTTTGCACATAATGCACAACTTATCATCAGTACTACAGTCCCTGATCTCTGATGGCTGAGCTGCAGTCTAACACTTTCCTGTACCTTTACAATAAGTGCAATTCTTTCATTGTCTATTATTATGCTTAAGAAAATATTCAGTTAATAAAAGCAGAGTATTTTATGTAATTTCTGTTTTAGAAAAACATTATTACATGAGTCAAAGGACATGTAGGAATATGGATTTCAGCACCTTCCAAAGTTCAGCCAGTTATCAGTAGATACAATATCTTTAAATCACACGAGTGTATCTCTCAAGATATGTATACACCTGTGTGCATATACAGTGAATCTATCTTTACATGTTATTAATGCTACCAAGGGTAAGCTTTTGATGAATTAGAAAAGATGCTCTTTTACAGGCTATAATGGATGCTTTGTTTAATGAGCCAAATATGATGAAACATTTTTTTCCAATTCAAATTCTAGCTATTGCTTTCCTATAAATGCTTGGGTTGTGTTTGGTATTGTTTTTAGTGGTTAATAGTTTTCTAGTTGCAATTTAATTTTTTTGAATATGATACCTTGTCACATGTAAATTAGATACTTAAATATTAAATTATAGTTTCTGATAAAGAAATTTTGTTAACAATGCAATGCCACTGAGTGCTATTTTGCTCTATTGGTGGAGAAGACTTCTTTTTCAAAGACTGGGGCTCCTTTTACTTTTCTCCTCAGTGCAGAATCAATTCTCATATTCATTGTAAAAGGTCTGGATTATTTCATTTTCCAGTTTTTATTTAGTATACCACATCTGCCCAATTCATCTGTTATTGTTTAAGTTAAATCCTTCTGGTGAGAATTAGAAATGAAATCTTTTTTATTCATTGGCCAAAAAGTTCACAAACAGCAGTGTTTGCTATTTAATTTTAATCAAAGGCACAAAATGCATCAATTTCTGTGTTCTGTTGACTTGCAGCAGTAAGTAACTGAAGAGTGTGAAATAAACTGGACTGTATAGAGTCAAAACACGTCATGAGAATATGAATAGTGTCCACCGAAGTGAAAGAACATCATCTCACTTTGCATATGAGATCTTACAGAAGATGTCTAAAAATGTAACCAAGCTTTGAAAGGCAGAAAAATGTGGGCAATGTACTGTTTTCATAGTTAGAAAAAAGGTTCATAGGGAACATGGGATTATCGTGATATCTGAATACCAGGAGGAAAATTTTAAATGACAAGGAATCTCTCAGTCAGCCTCCTGTTTTGTCAAAGGATCAACCTAAAATTCTGGGTGTTTAGAAATATGTTGAACCACTGATTGGGTCTTCCGCTTTGCTTCTGGATGCTTTGGAATTGTGTCTTCACTGCTCCATTAGATTCAATTTACAATGGGAAAGGCTCTCTCTTCTAAAAGACCCATTTTAGGTCTTTTTCAAGAATAGTAAACACATTTTTTTTAACAAAATAAGTTGTAATGTTTAAAAGGAAAGTTTTGCCTATTTTATTAAGACGGAAATTTCTTTTTAGGCTAATTTAAAGTCCAACTGAAGCTTTTTAATCAATATTTTAAATTTCAACCACTAGAGTTTTTTACAATGCAAATTATTATGTTGTCTGAATGATGTGGTTTTATTGAATGTCTATTTGAGTAACATTTAAAAAGTATTGACCTTTACTGTTCATCATTTCTCGTTTATTATTATTATCAATGTTTATCTATTTTTCAATTAATTTAATACAGTTTGTAATGTGAAAGACATTTGTCTGGGACCCACTTTCACCTTAAAGGATAAATAGATCTAAATGAAAACAACTGTTTAATAGGAAGGTGGAAATTTTTCATCTTTGTGATTCTTTGAGTTTTAGTAACTGGTCTGCTATATAAAGGAAATGCTCACCAACACATACTCACTGGTTACAAAGAATTCATGCAACTGGATTTTCCCTTTCACATTTGCCCTTGTCATAATCACACTATTTCGAATGTATTAATGCATTCTGAAAGTGCCCTGGATAGCAAACTTTCAAAGTGTTTATTTTCCTTTAAAGAAAAACACCATGGTGAACTAAAAATGCTGTAATAAAATAGGTAAGCAATATTAACTCATCCACACAGATAAACATACAACCAGTAGCTTTTGAAGCTATTTTGAAAGACAAAAGTGTTTGTTTACTTTGCTTCAACTAAGAAGATGGCCATTCCAGTGTGGCGGCACACACCTATAATCCCAGTGACTCAGGAGGTTAGGTCAGGAGGATCATGAGTTCAAAACCAGCCTCAGCAACTTAGCACAGCCCTCAGCAATTTATTGAGTTTTTGTCTCTAAATAAAATACAAAAAAAAGGGCTGGAGATGTGGCTTAGTGGTTAAATGCCCCTGGGTTCAATTCCTGGTACCAAGGAGGAGAAGAATATGATGATGATGGCCAACTCAAGAATTTGAGACAAAGAAAACCATGCTGACCTAATGAGTATTTTTTAAAAAACTGAAGGAAGGAGATACTCCTCAAATGAATTATTTTTACTTCTGCTATCATAGAAATAGCTCTGAAGGTCTTAAAGGAACCTTCTGTTGTGGATCTACTAAAAATAAATTACCTAAGCATGGGTTCTTGACCTACAAAGATCATTTAAGCCATTGTTCTCCTAATGATGGGTTTTCAAACAAAGTTCCCAGGAGTGCATTGCACACAAGTGTCTAGGACCATTGAAATTACATGGCTTCTATAAGGAATTCTGTGTGAAATGCCTGTTTCTCCTCACATGCACTGACCACCTTTTCTGGAGGCAGCCAGCTTTGCATAAGTGTAATCTGACCTCTAGTGGTGCTCTGACTCTCTATTCTTTGGATTCTCTGCTACTAGTGGTGGTTACCTACTATAACCAAAACTCATCACATACACACTACAAACCAATATGAGAATGCTCATACCACACTGAATTCAAATAATGGAAGACATTAGCAGGTGACTTGTGCTCTCTTAAACATGGTCCTTGGAAGGCTCCCAGGGCCCTGCTGCAGCTGCATAACTTATCTCCTGTTGTCCATTTTAGCCTTTTCAGTCCCCACTCCTATTTCTCAGGACCACTTCCCAAAATAAATTGCATGTGCACCAATTGTTGACTCGGGTTCTGCATTCTGGGGAAAACTTTTCTTCCCATAAGAGCTTATCACTGTGAATATATAGAAAACAAATACATGGAGAATAAAAATCTGGTTTCTTCTCAGGTTGGAATAAGTTGTTTCTACCTAAAATTTCTTAAAATCTTAATAAAAGTGGCAAACCTATGCAAAGTGTTCCACAGGCATTATCAGATGAATCTTCTCAACACACCATAGAATGGGCATTATTTCCATTTAAATACATAAGAAAATTGAATCTTAAAAAAGTATGGAACTTGATCAAATTTTTAACTAAGACTAAGTCACAGTTTCAGCCAGTTTAGACCCTGTTCTCTGTCATTCTCCTCTGTGATAACCCTAAAATCAGGAAAGAATTAACTCAAGTTCATCCCATCTGAAAAGGATTTGAAATATCTGAGCATAGAGTTCTATATATTTTTTAGAATGACTGAAAGCATTAATACTGAAAGCCAAAGAATAACCCAATATACTGCCATGGCATTTTTGAAATTACATGAATGATTTCCCTAGTATCAAGAGGGCATATGTATAATATATATTAAAATGTAGAGTTTTTTTTCTGTCAAAGCAATCTAAGAATTATTTCTATCTATGAAAACTTTTGCTCAGATGACCATGCCCTGAGAAGTCATAGTAAGTTCCCTTGCTCAGGCATTATTTCAGGGACATTCCAAAATCATTCCAGGAAGTATCCATATATGACAAGTAGCATTTTACTGCTCAAAATGCCCTGACTTGTAAACATGAAAATCTCATGCCATCTTTAAATGGAAAAGAACATTGCATCATTGAGAGCCATACAAGGCAGCTACAATCCTATTTGCAATCTGACTTAATTTTTTTTATTACCTTAAGCTTTTCTACAACTATAGAAAATAGATTTGCTTTACTGTTGATCAGATCTATGAACAACAATTTTATTTACTTTGGCAACATTCCAGTGATTGTTAGAAGAGATCTTTTGAACTCAAAAATTCCCTCTCTCATCAAAGACAAGGTAAATACATTTTTAGAAGGAAACAAGTCACGTGAAAGCATAATCTTGATTATTTTCTGTTAGTCTTACAATTAAGTTAATGATTGGTTAATGTAAACAACACAGATCATTACCGCAGCCATTCATTCACTTGGAAAGTTTTTGTGCTGATTACCACAGCTTGTCCATATGTCAAACCTAGTACTGTTTTAACTGAGATACATTTGACATGAGTGAAATTTGAGAGTGAGAAATTCCATCCTGCCAGATTGCGATTTCAAAGCCAACCAACCTCAGCAATTTAGCAAGGCCTTAGATAACTCAGCAGGACCCTGATCTAAGTAAAATACATATTGCTGGGGCTGTGTCTCAGTGGTTATGTGCCCCTGGGTTCAATTTCCAGAAGCAAAAAAATAAAAAAATTCCATCCTGCCAAGGACATCAAAGAAATGGGTTTCACATTTGTTCCACATTGAGGCTTTTTATCATATTAACTAATGCTAAAACTAAACATGCAAGATAGAAGTTATTATTTGCTGATGAAGAAATCAAAATTCAGAAGTTAAACAATTTTCCATCAGTGTGTTGTAGCATATAAATGACAGATTCAGAATATGAAATCAGACAATAATAACCTCCAGGCCTTTACACGCTATAATCTCATGTATACATTTTTTTAACTAGTAAATTCCTAAAGTTCATTGTGCATGTCTTTAGATTGGGTTAAGCTTTCAAGTCCCTTGGTATTTCTTCATACTTCTGTCTGTAAGTAACTAAATTTGAATTTTTAAATGGTTAAATACTTGTGACATAGTATGTACTTGACCATCATCTGGAAGTTCGTTAGATATGCAGACTTTCAGGTAGCCCTCACTCCAGAATCAGAATCAGAATGTTAACATATCCTCCAAGTGATTTGTACACACATTAAAATTTGAGAAGCATTGATTTAAATAAGAACTTTTATCGTCTCACATCACAAGAGAACTTAAGTTGGATGTTTCGGGGGCAGTTTAACAGATCAATCATGGAATCAAATCATGGTGGGTCCCCAGCTTTCTGCTTCTACAACCTAAGTCTGTTTTCTGTCTCTTGAAATGTCTTCATATAAATAAGTTGTCCTGGGCAATATCTTCTTTCGCAACCCGTCTTCTATCAGGAAAGGTCATTTCCCCCAGAAATCTTGAGCACCATTGATTTTACAGCCATTCAGTCCACACTTTAGTTGCAAGCCCCCATCTCTAACACAGGGAGGCTGGGAAGTGACACATCTGAAGCTGCACTCTCTTTAGTGAAGGTGCAACAAGTAAGGAAGGTGGGAGAGTGAACATAATTGTAAGTACAACATGTGACCCAGAAGAGACAGATCTACCTACCCAAGGCAATGAGATCAACAATCCTGGTCTTTCATCTGCAGGAATCCCCCAAGCTGCTGAGCAGTGTTTTATGTAACCCTTCCCTTAAAGGTGTTTCACTTCTCCTCCCGGAAGACCCTCAACGTCTGTTTCACCCCCTGTTCCTGAGAGTCAGCACACTCCTTTCTAGTCCACATTTTCTCTTTTCTTCCCTGCTCTTCATCACTGACATGTTTTCCAATGCAGGCAGGTAGTCTTGGAATTTGATTGTCGTCCCATCTTGCAGCCTTTATTCGCTCTAACACGATTTATGATACCTTGATTATCTCCATATGGTTTGAATTGCTAGGCACACCATTTATTCTCCTGATTGATAGATTGTGGAAGGTATTTATATTGATGGGGAAAGAAACGGCCTGACAAGGAAACACAGGTAACACAACTTCTCCATTCACATACACTTTTTAATGGATCTAATTCTCATTACATTCCAACATCTATCCTTGGGGACACCATGTGTGACATTTAATGATCTGTGTAGTGTAATTGGATTTTTCAAACCCTTGGATAGAACAAATTAGAAATTCCCTTGCCCAGATAAATAGAAATTTTCAACTTTGAGGCTGTCTTCAAATCATGAAATACCAAAAGGATATTTTGTGCCTGTTATGTGCCCGCTATTGTGCTGTATGGTGCAGCATTAAGATCCTTTTCCAAAGACTTAATCTAATTAAGTATGGTCTAATGTGTAATTTAGTCAAATGGGTATTTAAATGGGTATTTTAGTCCAAATGCTATAGCCAAATGAGTCATCATTTACTAAAAAGTATCACCATATTCAATCATGTTTTTGGTTTTCATTGAGTCATTTTAGTGCCCACCTAATTAAATATGATATTCCCTTGGACTTACCAACATTAAATAAATACACAAACCTACATATTTTATTCAAAAGGGCTCTATAACCCACTTTCATTCATATAACAATTGGTCTCTCTGCAATTTCCTTTCCCACATTTAATTTCAGGGAAATTTTCAGTCGAGTTCTGCTACTGTTTCAGAATTATTTCTCAGTCCAAATCACCTATAGCAGAGGGGCATGGAGATAAAGCAATATTTAATTTTGTTTTGTAATGGTGTCTGGTTTATTTGAATGAATTTATTAAGAATCCAAAAAAAAAATTCACATCCTTGAGAACAGAAATATTTTCACAGAGTAAAAATAATAAAATAAAGTACTGCCCCAGCCTACCACCTGACTTGGAAGTCAGTTGTGTTTCTACTCACCATGGATTAAGAGCCAGCCATGGTTCCCTCATTCGCCCAGATCCTGGAGATCATATACTTTGCAAGTATTTCTTTGCCCCTAGGTTAATAGCTACTACTAAAATAAGTTAAAAAGTTTTGTATGTGTAACATTTTTTAATTTAAAAAATATTTTAATACATAATATTTGTACACATTTTTGAGGTAGATTGGATGGTTTGGTTCACATAGGCATTGGGTGGTTGATCAACTTAGGTTAATTGCCCTAACCATCACTTTAAACACTTATCATTTCTTTATGGTAAATACATTCAAGTTCATCTCTTCTACTTTGAGATAAATAATGCATTATTGTTTATTAAAATCATCCTGAAGTATCAGAGAACACCAGAATTCCTTTCTTCCATCAAACAACAACATTTAACCTCTGACTGGCCTCTCCCCTCTCACCCATCTTTATTTTCCTTTTGTTCTACTATCAGCTTCTATGAGATCTACTATTTTTGTGTCCACTTGTGAATGTGATCATTCAGTGACTGTCTTTCTGTGATCTACTTATTCAGTTTTTCAAGCGCATACATATTACTACAAATGATAAAATTTTATGCTGTTTATGGCTGAACTAGGTTATGTTGCATATATGGACTTACTTTTTAAAAACTTCATTTCCCTATTGATGGACATTTAGTTGGATCCCACTCCCTAGCTGTAGTGAATGTCCATTCTTACTCAAAGTGATTTGTGGAATCAGTGCTCATTCTTCACAAAATTAGAAAAAACAATTTTGAGATTTGGAAGAAACCATAAAAGATCCTGAACAGCCAAAGCAATCTTGAGCAAAAGTAACAAAGCTAGAGGCACTGCAATACCACTCCTCAAAATATTAAAATCATGTTAACTTCATCTAGATTCTAAATAATAGTGGATAATTTTTATATACTTATTCACTTTCATGTCTAATCCTAATATGTCGATCTGAATTATTTCCAGTTACCTTCAAGTCTCAAATCCCCCCTCATTATTGTTTCATTAAATATAAAGTATTGTTCACATGGACTTTTATATGTTTTTATCTATTTATTTACTTTTTTATTGGGGAGCCAGAGATTGAACTTAGGGCCACTCAACCCCTGAACCACATCCCCAGCCCTGTTTAGTATTTTATTTAGAGACAGGATCTCACTAAGTGGCTTAGCACTTCATTTTGCCCACTTCATTTTGCCTTTGAGCTTTGGATCTTCCTACCTAAGCCTCTGGAGCCACCGGGATTACAGGTGTGTGTCACTGCACCCGGCTTCTCATGTACTTTTAAATGTGCATGATCTAAGTTATACTCTAACCAATTCATAATTTTCTGGGGTAAATAAGACGATGAGAATAATAGTAAGAAGTCACATTATCTCTTGTTTAGTTTGCACCAGTCCCTAGAATGAGCTTATTCATAGACTTATTTGAACTTTCCAACAAGTAAACTAAGATCATCATG